CCCCCAAAACGTGCCAAAAAGCAAAAATAATGCCCCTGAACCCCGCAGACTTACTTTGCATACGAAAGGAACAGTCCCCAGCTCCACGAGCATACCCAAATGTAATGTGAAACTACTGCGGCAACCAGACTACGACCACGTGGGTGAGGCAAAGACTATTGATCTCCACACATACATGCATATACTTCGGTGTTACATGAAATACAGCACGACCTTATTAGGTTGACAATAGACTGCGGTACAGACTTTGCTGAGGATTAAGAGCCTGGCCAGAAGATTTCTTTGACTTCGTTGGGCAACATCCTTTCCTTTTACTTTTCTAGTAACTTTGCCAACATCTGAAAATGTCTTCAATTTCATTTTCTTTAGTGTTGCATTGAGATTTGTGTCATCACCCTAAAGACGTCTTCTGGCAAACTCGAACGCTGCGTCACCTTTCTCTTTTGCACTAATAAAGTCTGATCTCTCTTCCGGTGATGCTATGGCACCAGATGACAAGTGCACAAGGTTATTATCATCTGTCTCCTCAAATGGATTTATCATGCTACATACTGTGCTCACGATGTTGTCAATGTCATGTTCATCTCTCAGCATGTGACTCTTGGTGAGGTCTGTTCTGGTGGTAGTTTTGGAGCCTTTGCCTGTCACATCTTCACTCTCTGGTGATTCTTGACCATTCTTTGAGTCCCTGTATCAACCGGTTGGTTGCACCTTGGTTTGTTGAAAATCCTTTAACACCACCTCTTGTCTTAAAATCACGGCCAATCGTTTGTTCAGTTGCCATGTCACATGCTACCATTGCAAAGCTATGACAGTCCTGTCGCTGCACTGCAAAGTTGCCTTTCTTAAGTTCATCATGGATGTACGGATGTGTTTTTGACAGATACTCATCTCCAGCCAGTACACGGCTAGGTACCATGCATGTTTGTCCTATCGCAAGCAAACATCCATGATATAAGGGCTCTAACAGCTGCAAGATAAAGGCCCCAGTTGCTTTCTCGTGTCGCTCTTGTGAAGAGTAAGATGTTACTGATCATCTCAAGGTACGAGTTCCAAAAAGCAAATGTTGCATTCATGTTTCCTTCAGTGATGAACCTCTCATAGTCTTCTATCATAGAATGATATGTGTTACTGTCGAGATGATCCAATTAATCTCTCGGGAATGACTGTTGAAGCCTTTCCATTGTACTGATGTAGGTGTTGTGATCGTCCTCTGGAACACTGTCAATGAAGCTCGCCCAGCGAAGTCGATGTAAGGCTTCTGCCATGAGCTTGTGACATCTCATCCTCGGATTGTAGTCGTGACCATTCATGACACCTTTAACAGAACAAGTTGCCACTACACCTGCTTCAATAGGCACGTCCTGCAATCCAGCATCTTGAAATTGCTTTCCTACACACGCTAAACTTGCCATGGTTGTGTGGAACGCTCCGAGACGAAGTACAATTCTTTCCATGAAAATTGGTGTTTGCCACCTGATTACCTGTGCTTTTTTGCATAAAATGGCCTGGTCTACAACTGCAACTATGGACGGAAGATCCAACTGATCAGCAATGTCTAAACTTCGATGGAGAATTGTGTTGACAGTACTAAGGTCAGTTGGGCTGGCATTGATGATTGGTATTAAAGTACCCAATAGTTGCCTTTGGTGGTATGGTGGATGTCAGGAGTTGGTTGTACCCAGTCCAAGATGGAAGAAGACGCTTAGAAGGTACTTTGGAGATGTAGTCAGCCAAATCTTTGGATTGATATTGACGGAGAATGGTTTCATAAGGCTTGATATCAATCTCTACAGTGTCTGCAAATGATGTTGGGAACTCTTTTTTCAGCTCTGAAGTGGACAATATTGGATTCTGGTGCATGCACAGACCGTTGTCTTGTTTTCTTTGTTGGCTGTTGGTTGTTGGTCACTGGAGAAAAATGGCTGCCTTGGATGACAGAATGCTGCACAGCAATTCCATTAGTGTTGTGAGTGGTCCCTTTCCCTGACAGAGTCTGCTCTCCACAGTCATTAGTATCCCATATAAGTGTGGTATGTTGCGACTTCTGCAGCTCTGAAGGAACAGCACTAGGACCCTCTCGATTTCTTGTTGAGCCAAGGCTGTATCATGTTCTAATACACTGGTGTGGGACACAGTATACCCAAAACCAATTAGTAGGCCAATAATCTGTAAAGAGCCAGTGAGATGTCATATGGCCATTCCCAGCGATCAATGTTTCGGCATCAATTTTTTTCCTTTTGTAGCCAAGTAGATGATGTCCCAGGCATGGCTAAGATTCTGCAGTCTTCAACGTCGCCTGTCTTCACATGTTCTTCTTCTTCCGGCTCTGTGGATGCACCAACAAGCCAAGCAATGAAGTTGTACAGCTTTACCGGTACAACTTGTCGTGAAGTATCTAGGTTGAGGTCTGCTGATGTTGGTGGCTGTGGAGCAGTGAAGTATCTAGGTTGAGGTCTGCTGATGTTGGTGGCCGTGGAGCAGTGAAGTATCTAGGTTGAGGTCTGCTGATGTTGGTGGCCGTGGAGCAGTACTATTAGCATTCACAATTTCCTTCCTCAGATCCAAGGCTGTTGCATACCAATCTCTCTTGGTTGACCTCTCCGGCTCCACATTCATTCGTTTCACAGGTGGCTCATCCTCAGCATCAGTTGTGTTGGTATCAGAGCTGCTGGTGTTGGAAGCACAATTGTGGGTACTTCTGACGCAGTCTTGCCTTGAGCCTAAATGCCTTGTAGTTGCCTGAGTCTAAGTTTTCCACATCCTTCACAGTTTTATCAAAGAAGTATTTAAGTGCTGTTAGCCGGTAAATATTCTTGTCCTTTATGACCTTCTGTTCTGTGGTGTTATTACAGAACACATCAAATGACTTAGCATACAACTGCTCCTTTTCAACAGGTACTTCTTTTCTTGTGAGATAGACGGTGAAGGCTCTGAAGCAACTGCGGTGATATCTATTACTTCCAATGCTATGCAGTCCCTGTCTTCAATTTGAATCAAGATGTGCCTTGCGTTCTTGTCTCCTGCAGCTCTTAACAGTTTGCCACTATCAACCTGCTCACAAAGGACCAACATTTGTGTCCAACAACCAATGTTTTCTCCCCTGTGAATCCCTGCAAGACTTCGTTTTTCCACATATGATACAGATTTTTTGGAGGATGTGAGAAGCTGCCAATGGCTGTTCTGCAATGATTGAGCCTGAGCGCAACAGTCTTGAGTCTGATGTCTTGGTTATGTCTGTAAGGGTGGACATTCTTGTAGTTGAACACTGGGGCAAATCTGAAAAAAAAAAAAAAACAAGGGCCATAAACAAACCAAGAACAATATACAAGAGCTTTGTTTACAAATAAAAAAGGCAGCAAAAGATGCGCATTGACACCAATTTGTTCGCACACAATGTACATGTAGTGCACGTATATCATGATGGTGTGCATAAGTGCATTGTAAGATATGGCGCAAATTTTTGAACAAATACATAAATCTGAAAAATTGGAAATTAGAGAAAAACCCAAAAATATTGTAGCCCATTAGTCTTCCGCAATGAAAGCAAAGTTTGTTCATCAAAGAATGGGCATTGTGTGTGGTTTAGTACTCCTTTTCTAAAACAAAAATGAAAAACCACTTTTAGAATTTGAAACCCACTTAATTACATGATAATAACATCATGCTAACTGTCTGCAAGATTAATTTTGTTGAAACAGAGCAAGAAATTTCAATTTTTAGGGATAGTATTCGGTAAAATAGATGACGATGATGCAAACTTCCACCCTGTGAAAATAAACAAGGCAACCATGCCCAAGCTGGATGGATGTTTGGTTGAAAAAAAGTTCCTTTTTGGGAACTTTTTAACTTAATTGCACAAGCATTCAACAGTACACCACTTGCAGCTGTAAAAGTATGTTGATTCATGTGCAGGGTCATTTACAGGAAAAAGTAAAGAATGTGGCATTTCTTCTCATGTACTGCACCAATTAAAAAAAAAGTAACTGTTACAGCATTCATACATGTACCCCGCTATTTTCTGATTTATAAATATGGCATATTTCTGCAGTGGCTTACCGTGCACATAAGGATGATGGTTTGCAAACTGGAGGTGAGCGGGTTTGAATGTCCATGTTGATTCCTACATTGCCTTTTTTGTATTTTGTCATTCTAGAGGCTTTTTACCCTGATGGTATTTACATGTAGTCGTAAGTATTGTGTAAGCCTAGTCCAGTTTCCTTTTTTTTAATTCAGGGCCCTGGAGAATATTTTCAAAGGGAAAAAAAGATCCAAATAGTGCCGTATCTATTATCACCGGAAAATAATGTGGTACTAAGGCAGCCGCACCCATATCATGAGCCCAAATAGAAAAAAAAAGTTTAAACAAATAAAAAGTGAGATCATTATCATGAGAAAACATTGCTTAAGCATTTCAAAATTTGGGGAGCGACGAGAAAAAAAAATGACAGGGCCTTCAACCACATAACCATGACAATCCTGCAGTAGACAGAGCTGCCAACTCTTCCGGATTCACAAAATTCCTTAACGGAGCTGGAGTCAGGCATCATCACATAATAGGCCCCTACTAGATCCGCAGGTGTTGCAGTGCTCCAAAGGCCTTGAGCTCATTTACATACCTTTGAATCTATTGTGTGATGATGCCTGACTCCAGGAAGGAATGAAGTGAATCCGGAAGGGTTGGCAGCTCTGGGCATATTCAGTAGTACCAATCAGAAATTAGCGTTAGGCCTACAATGTACATATACTTTTGTGTAGGCCCAAACTGTACTGTTAGTGGCCAGTGATTGGATTGCATAAGCATGATAAGAAGCGTCACAGGCCTACTTCAAACTCACCTGTCAATGGAGAAGATTCAATGGTAGCTGTCGTCTCTGTTTTGCAGCCCCTGCTTGTCTTACTTTCGATAAATCAGTAAAATATCGGTGGCATGCAGGGTGAAATCCACCACGATCTGGTATTGGCACTGAAGTGTAGTCCATGCAGATGGGATGTATATGTGCAAACGCATTCGCAACATCGGCCTGGTTTCCAATAAGATCTTTCCAAATGGGCACAAATTTCAAGAAACTGGACCACGTTTTCTCCGAACATGACTTTGTTTCACCGGAAATTCCTGGAACATGAGCTAAACGTACATTCTCAGTTGATTTCTGAGACAACAGCTCATGGTCATCCGTGCCCATGGACGACGCCATATTTCCACGCGGCCGTGATGTTGGTACCGTGCTACTTTACAATGGCATCGGTGATTGGCCAAGTCAACCACAAACGTCATATTTTCTAAATCCTTTGTTCAATTGCAGGAATGACTTGATACTGGCAATGAAAGCACATAAAAGGGTCAATTTTATTGGTCGATTTTTCGTTCTTTCTATATTTCTGACAGACGTGCAGATATTAATTTTGCCGTTATTTTAAAAAAATGCCCCAACCCCTGGTGCAGGAAACAATAAAAAAACCCTTACATAAACAGCATAATTGATTTTGAGAGCAGTCCATGGTAGTGCCAGTGAGGAGGGAGCGAGTTGAGCATTCTTGCGGGCATGCCCTATCGCTTATTACTTTTCTTCTCGAAAGTAAGGTCAAGCAGATTGATAATGCTCAGAAGATCTCCTTTCGTGAGCCGTCCTACCCCCGCCCCCGTGATTCTTCTTTTGCTTCTCTGAGACCTCCGCAACATTCCACTCCTCTAATGCGTCATTTCGCGGTCTCCAGTGCGGTCTTTCCACCGCACCGAGAGTGCTCACCGGAGTGGTCCAAGCGGTGGGGGCTTCCTTCGTCGCTCCGACGTTCTTATCTTTCAGTACCTGGACGACTGGTTAATCCTGGGTCGATCAAGAGTCGAGGCTATTTCAGCCACCGTGACGGTTTGCGCCCTAAAAACCCATCTGGGGTTCCTAATCAATCACGACAAGTCAAGGACAACTCCGTCACAGATGCCCACATTTCTTGGGGCTGTTCTCAATCTCCGCTGCGGTACGGTTTTTCCGACGGATGCCTGTGTGGATAATCTGATAATATGTGTTGCGCTATTTCAAGTTGGTTGACAAATAAATGCTTGGGCTTGGCTTCAACTTCTGGGTCTTGTGCCCAGTCTTGTCAACCTTGTCCCTTGGTGTCGACTCCTCATGAAACCTTCCAACTCCAACTCCTGTCGCACTTAAGACCACACACAGATTAACTGGACCTCCTCCTTCCAGTGCCAGTCTTTCTAAGTCACCACTTGATGTGGTGGTCTTCCAAGGCTAATCTCACCACCAGCCTTCCTTTTGCCCCTGCGGGTCACGATGTGGTGCTGACTTCAGACGCTTTAACCTACGGGTGGGGAGCCAGCGTGCTGCTGCCTCAGATCTCCAGCCAATGGGAACCAGCCATGTGGGACTCCCACATAAACGTTCTCGAGCTGCAAGTGATGTTCACTGCTCTTCATCATTTCCAGCCGCTCCTGACAAGCAAGACAGTTCTAGTTCAGTCGGACAACTCTACAGCTGTGATCTACATCAATCGCCAAGGGGGCACTCGCTTGTCTACCT